ATTCTAAATTAGGCTTTTTGCTTTCAAATGAATTTACATGTTCACAAGATAGAGCCTTGTATGGATGGAGTCTTGCCCTCAGGACACCATATTTCCTTGGGGGAGTAGAGAAAGGGTTTTATCTAGCTTACAATTAGTGGTTTTGATAGATGCTACAACATAGGTATGCTTTGAGAATAAAATTTCAAGTGTAGGTTGTAAGACTCAACATGTCATATATTGTATACATCCAGGATAGGCCTATCCATAAATTCAGAAAGCATATATATGTGCTTGCCAAAAGGTGTGAAATGAATTAGAAGGGGCTACTAACAGCTATAGGCTTTGGGGAAGGGATAATAGAAATACTGTTTAATTATATAGTAGTTATTATTATACAGCTTTGTGAATATGCTAAAATATCACTGAATGTGTCCACTTAGAAACAATAGAGTGTTATATGGGGCTATATTTCAATAAAAAGAGAAAAAACAAATTTATACTGGTCATTGGATTATGGACAAATTCTTTTTCATTGGAATTTTAAGTCATAACTTCTCCAAATGGTTTGTAGCACGTAATAAATCAAGAGTAATGAGTCTTTCACCAAAATTTGAGAGCTTATGAGACAGACATGGTGAGAACTGCCCGCAATCCTAGCACTAGCCGGGTGGTGGTGGTGCACGCCTTGATCCCAGCCCTCGGGAGGCAGAGGCAGGTGGATCTCTGTGAGTTCAAGGCCAGCCTGGTCTACAGAGCGAGTTCCAGGAAAGGCTCCAAAGCTACACAGAGAAACCCTGTCTCGAAAAAACCAAAAAACAAAACAAGAGGTAGAGGCAGAAGGAGCAGCAGTTCAAGGTCAGTCTTGACAATAAAGTGAGTTTCGGTCAGCCTAGCCTACATAAGATCCAGTCTCTGCCCCACCCCCACCCCACCTTACAACAAAAATATTTACAAAATATTTTTAAAAAGAGAACTTTTATTGTTTCAGGAAATCCTTGCCTTAGCAGGTTGAGGAGGCATGTACTAGCTGGAGCTAATTATTCCTCTCTAATTTTTTTTTTTTTTTCGAGACAAGGTTTCTCTGTGTAGCTTTGAAGCCTGTCCTGGAGCTCACTTGGTAGCCCAGGCTGGCCTTGAACTCACAGAGATCCACCTGCCTCTGCCTCCCGAGTGCTGGGATTAACGGTGTGAGCCACCACCGCCTGGCTAAATATGTTTTAAGCAAGAATTTCAGTCCTTTTCCAGACTAGGGGGTTAAAATATATTCCTCACCTGGGGAGAAGGAATATGGTAATTATAAAACACCATTAAATCCTCAACCCAATTCTCATTACCTAAATTCAGTGTGGATGCGCTCTCTCCTCTCTCTCCCTCTCCCTCTCCCTCTCCCTCTCCCTCTCCCTCTCCCTCTCCCTCTCCCTCTCCCTCTCCCTCTCCCTCTCCCTCTCCCTCTCCCGCTCCCGCTCCCTCTCCCTCTCCCTCTCTTCTCTCCCTCTCCCTCTCTTCTCTCTCTCCATCCCCCCCATCTCCTCTCTCTCTCTTTCTCCCCCTCCCTCCCTCCCTCCCTCCCTCCCTCTCTCTCTCCCCCCTCTTGGAATACTATCTTAAAATTTCTGTTTGGTATCAGGGCTCAAGCAGCATTGGAGCAATATTCATCTGGGTAAGTCTCAAAGTATAAAGTGGTGGGTGAGAAGAACTTATCCTCAGTTCCTTAGAAATGAACTCAGACCCTGGCCCTATGGTAATTTAGATAAATGAGTGGAGCTTTGAAACTTCACAATCCATTCGGCAGAAGAAAAGGGTGCTGCACAAGGACAGTAGCACCTAGGCCACATAAAAACACCTTCGGAAGAGGGAAGCTAAGGAAGGAATAGATTGGAGGACCCTGCCAGCCAACTGAACTTCCTGTACACAGTTTGTATACCCTATGGACAATGATGGGCCTTTTACTGCAGTGTTAATAAAACCCAGGCGGGTTGGTGGGAGGGGGGCACAGCTTTAATCCCAGCACTCAGGAGGCAGAGGCAGGCTGATCTCTGGGTTCGAGGCCAGCCTGGTCTACAGAGTGATCCAGGACAGCCAGGACAGTTACACAGAGAAACCCTGTCTCACCCCCCCCCAAAAAAAAGGAAAAGAAATAAAAACCCTTCAGAATTTCAACATGACACCAGAGCATTAATGCAAGCAGAGGCGACTTGTGATCACAGCACTGTGTCATATACCATGGGCCATACCCATGGAGCCTGTTCTGGCCTTGAGTATTAGCTGCTCCTTCTCTGACCATTGTTATCAGTCAAGTGGGAGCATCTTCTCCAGAGATGAGGCTCTGTTCCACCTGCGATATCTGAGTTGAGGCAGACTGGCACTGGAGTCCAGAGGCAGTGCCTTTCCATCAGAGTGCGCTCTTCAGAGTCTCCAGGTGCTATTAACTCCCCTTGATCTCCAGCTAGTTCTCAATCTTCCTGCCCCATCCTTCTTCCTTTCCCCACTTTGACATGTGAATGTCACCTCAGTAAACTCCTTTCACAAGGCTGTCTTTGTGGGGAGATCAACCTATAAAACAGGAAGTCTCCACAGCAGTATTCCAGCTAAAAACCACAAGCAGAGGAAAACTGAAAACAAGCAATAACTGATATTTATTTTGTCAAACAACAAACGAGGAGTCAAAGATGCTCCCCTGAAATAACCTGAGTAGAAAGTAAACCTAAATTTACTCTATTTTCCAATTAGCTTTCATTTGATAGAAAAAATGTTAATGATGGTAACAGCAAGATGCAGGTTGTGGAGATATATCCTACAAATGACTCTTTCATCAAAAGTTAAATTGAAGAGGAAATTGAAATGTATGAATGTATACATTAAAAAAATTTAGGACATATAGCAACCAATCAAAATGTGCAGGTCTTATTTAGTTTCTAAACCAAAGCCTTAAAAACACATAAAACAACTAGGAATTTGAATTATGTTATATATATATATACATACATATATATATATTTATAAATGTGTGTGTGTGTGTGTGTTTAAAGGAACTGTGAATATGTGTGGAGAGTCCTTAGAAATGTCTTAGAAATGTGCCTTGAATTTGAAATATGTCTATGTAGATAAGGATAAAGAAAAATTTGGCCAGGGCTTAACTATGGAAGCTAGGTGATAAGTACTTGTTTCTATGCTATTCTTCCGGTTTTTTTTTAAATATATTGGAAATTTGCCATAGTAGAAAATCAAAGTTAATGTAAAAACAAATATTACTGCCTGGCGGTGGGGGCACATGCCTTTAATCCCAGCACTAGGGAGACAGAGGCCAGTGGATCTCTGAGTTCGAGACTAGCCTGGTCTACAGAGTGAGAGCCAGGACAGCCAGAGCTGTTACACAGAGAAACCCTGTCTCAAAAATAAAACAAAAACAAAATAACTAAATAAATTTTATTTCAGAAAGGGAATAAGGCACACAAAGTATTAAGAAAAATTAGGTCTTGGAAAAACCAAATAAATAAAAAGAAGAAAAAAGAAAGGAAAAATTAGAAAAAAATCCACCTTTATTTCATTTTCTCATTGTCCCCTGCATTTCTATATGGTGGCAGAAAGAACTACAATTTGAAGTGGAGTAGGTAGAGCAGATGTTGGATGTGTTTAAGTTTTTGACATCTTGCTCATCATAAATACTTCTAAGCCAGTTTTATTTTTCTTTATTGATTTTTTACTGTTGTTTTTGACTCCATTTCAATTGTTTTTCCTTCACTTTTCGTGTGTGGCGTGCTTCCGTGTATGCACGTTAATACACATGGGGGGTGTGCCCGTGTGCCGGTGCCAACCATCTTCCATTGCTCTTCTACATTATTCATTGAGGTAGGATGTCTCAGTCAAAGCCAGAGTTCCCATATAGTCTAGCTAGCAGGCTTGCTCCAGGGATGCCTCTCTGCCTCCTGAAGTTGCAATTACAGGCTTCCCACAAGACATTTGCACGTGTTCTGTGTTTACACGAGTTCTGGGGATCCTCACGCTTAAATACTATGTACTTTAACCACTGAGCTATCTCACCAGCCCTTTGAATTCTGAGACAAGAATCCAAGTTTTGGAGCAGAGAGGGCATCCAGGAGGGGCATCCTGAGAACAGAGGGAGATGGAAACTCAATCCCCCCGAACAGTGGCAATGGCTAAGAGCCCCCTGGGAACACACTGCCCCTCTCCTTCCGACAGGCACATGCTCAGGGCTCAGAGTGACAGGGCCCAGCCTGGAGATGTCACAGTGACCCTGAGGTGAGGAGGGGGCCTGGACTCGGCCTGGCCAGAGACTCGGGGCCAGAGGAGGGGCCGGGGCGGGGGGCGGGGCTCTGTCTGTGACGCAGCCTCACGTGACTAGCCCACCACGCAGGCTCACACCCCTCTCCGGGGCTCTGGACCTGCCCTGGCTCGCTCCCTCCGGCCCGCCGTCCCCATCCCTGGCCGAGGCACCTGTTCGCGGTGGCGCAGAGCGCGCGGCCCGGGCAGCGCGGAGAGCGGGAGCGGAGCGGGTGA